TCGGCCCTGCTCTGTGTGTGACAGGGTGCGGCACCCCAACCACCCTCCCCCCCCACGGGCCCTGCTCTGTGTGTGACGGGGTAGAGCCATAACCTCCCCATCGGCCCTGCCCTGAGTGTGACAGTGGCGGTGCCCCAACCCCCTGATCGGCCCTGCTCTGTGGGTGATAGAGGGTGGCACCCCAACCCCCTGATCTGCCCTGCCCTGAGTGTGACAGGGGGTGGTGCCCCAACTCCCCTATCGGCCCTGCTCTGTGCATGACAGGGGGGAGCTCCCCAGCCCCCTGATCAACCCTACTCTGTGCGTGACCGGGGGAGCTCCCCAACCCCCTGATGGGCCCTGCTCTGTGTGTGACAGGGGGCAGCGCCCCAACCCCCTGATCAACCCTGCTCTGTGCGTGACAGGGGGTGGCACCGCAACCTACCCATCGACCCTGCCTTGAGTGTGACAGGGGGCGGTGCCCCAACCCCCCAATTGGCCCTACCCTGAGCGTGACTGAGGGTGGCATCGCAACCTCCCAATCTGCCCTGCTCTGTGAATGACAGGGGAAGGCGCCCCAACTCCCCAATCCGCCCTGCTCTGAGCCCGACCAGGGGCTGCACCTGGGGATTGGGCCTGCCCTCTGCCACGTGGGAGCAGGCCTAAGCCAGCAGGTCATTATCTCCTGAGGGGTCCCAGACTGCGAGAGGGCACAGGCCGGGCTGAGGGACGCCCCCCCTCCCCCCCGAGTGCACAAATTTTTGTGCACCAGGCCTCTAGTCCTATCTAATAAAGAGGTAATATGCAAATTGACCATCACTCCAACACACAAGATGGCCGCCCCCATGTGGACACAAGATGGCTGCCACAAGATGGCTGGCAGGGGAGGGCAGTTGGGAGGACCCAGGCCTGCAGGGGAGAACAGTTTGGGGGGATCCAGGCCTGCAGGGGAGGACAGTTGGGGGAGACCAAGCCAACAGGGGAGGGCAGTTAGGGGCAATCAGGCTGGCAGGGGAGTGTTTAGGGGGTGATCAGGCTGGCAGGCAGAAGCATTTAGGGGCAATCAGGCAGGCAGATGAGCGGTTGGGAGCCAACAGTCCTGGATTGTGAGAGGGACGTCTGACTGCCCTCGAGAGGTCCCATATTGGAGAGGGTGCAGGCTGGGCTGAGGGACACCCCCCCCACCCCACCCCCCACCCCCAGCGCATGAATTTCACGCACTGGGCCTCTAGTATATTATAATATATCTATAATATAGATGAAGGATTTTCTAGAAATAAAAATATGATAGCTGAAATTAAAAGCCCAATGGATGTGTTAAGCTGCAAGACAGACTAGGTGAGGGCACTAATCTACCCTCCCACCAGTGGTTCAGAGTTCCTGTTTCTCCACATTTTGCCAACAGTTGAGGGTGGTGCAAACTATACAAACTATACAAACTATACACAAATAGGCAAATTACAGGCTGCATTGTTTCTTTATAGAATTGGGCTCATCCCAGCCAAGATTCTGCCCTCTTCTGATTTCCTGGGTCATCCTTTTAGACACAGAGGGACTTTAAGCCTCAGCAAATCCCTCTCTGCTTATGTGTGTGTGTTTGGTCCTTGGGGTCAGCTCTCTCCCACAACAAGGCTGGGCTTTTCCTCCCTGGTTCCCACACCCTGAAGCCTCTTACCCAGTGACTTCAACATTAGCCTACCTGCTTCTGGTGTTAACTATGCTAATCCCCAGATTCTGTTTAGTTCACTCTATACCTTTCAGCCTCTCCCTTCCCCCTCTCCAGGCCAAAGTTTAACCCAACTCTCACCACTCCTTTTCCTGTCAGCCAGTCTCTGACCACACCACATATAGCTTCTTTATTAACATGTGGTAAGTGACCTTAGAGCCCAGCCAAGAGTTTATGTGTCTACCTACAGTTGGGAAGCCACCAGAGACGTATTTTTCCAAACCTGAAACTAGACACATAGCCTGAAAACCCAGAGGCAATATAGTATAAGGTTAGAGCATAGACTCCTGAAGCTGAATCTTACTTAGATCTACTGCTTCGCTGTGTGACCTTGGGCCAATCATTTAACCTCTCTGTGCTTCAGTTTTCTCATATGTAAAACAGGGATACTAGTACCCATTGCCTAAGGCTGTTAGGAGAACTAAATGAATTAGTTCATGGACAGTGTCTGAACAGTGCCTGGCATGTAATGAGCACTGTGTATGTTCCCTCTCATCACTATTACTGCTTCACTGGGACTGTCCCAGACAATCGCAGGTGGCAGTCACATTCATTGAAATGAGGACAGTGTCAGAAAGTGCCACTTCATTTATGCAACTGGTATGTTCTCCTGTTCTTTATCTCCTTCTAAAGGTTCATTAATCAGTAATTACATGGTTCTTACTCTTCTGAATCAGCCCAGACTATCTCCCAGCCCTCTCTGTCCAATCCGGTGTTTGACTCCGGCCACCTGAACAGTGGCAGCCACCTTGTTTCTGCCTTCTGCCCTTGACTTTCTTTCTACAAACCATCCTGCTTGCAGCAGCTAATAAATCCCATGCCTTTGGTATCTGACAAGTTGCTTTTAGCTTGCGGATAGTGTTAAGCTGACACTGACAGGGCTCAGGTAAGGAATGAGGTAGGCATGTCTCCTTTCACTCCGGAGGCAGAATGTCACCTTGAGTCTGAACTTTCTTAGCATCTGACGCTGGCCAAGATACCTGGGCCCAGAGCTTCTGTTTGGTCAAAATCGCAGAAAAGCTGTTTTCCCATTTCTCTCCTGGTGACTTCTAAGTGGATTACTCACTGGGATAGTAATCAATTCTTCATCAGGCTCTCAATCTACATAAAGAGAAGGATGCTGACTCAGAGGTAATGAGGCAGGCCTTAGGAATTGCCTGATTGTGGTTACTAAAGGCCTCATTTGAGATATACCCCTCAATGCGCTTGCAAGGGAAAGTTAGGCTGTTCAGGAGATTGGATTCTCCCACCAGACAATTCCAAGGTAATTTTTGAAGAACCCAAGGAAATACAAGTGTGACACCTATAAACCAACTCACATCCTCAAGTCTTAGGCACCATCAGATCAAAAGGATATACATTAATTAATTTTAAAATATATATTCATTTAGAGTAGTCTTTTCCTTGACTAATCTCAAAATAATACCCTTTGATTATACATGCATTTTGCAAGTGGCATTTTTGTATTTTCAGACCTGAGGAATCCAGGAAGGGCCCAATAAATGTGTTGGATTAGCTAGATAAACCCTGTGCTCAACTACAATGCAGATTATCATCTGTGATTTAAATGCAGCCTTTTGTCTTTGACTTCTGACATGCTAACACTACCTGTCAACACTACAGCTCAGTGTGACTAGAGGGGTGTGGCTAGGGAGTGGGAGGACACATGGAAGAAGGTGCCACTGGGAAGGAGATTGGTGTGAGTCCAAGGAGCATAAGAGGAGCCACTGGAGGTCTTTAAGTGGAAGAGTCACATGATCAGGTAGGGCCTCAGAAAGAGAAGTTTTAAGGATTGAGCCTCCAGATTTTTCTTCTGCATCTCCCCAATTGCAAATACTTCTATTCATTTTTAAGAAGCTCAAGAAAATCCTCAGGCAAGGTTAATATTACTCTCAGGGGGGTGTTTGTGGTAGTCATAAGGGTTACAAGAGGTGGAAATGGGATGGCGAGGCTCCGTTTCCTTGGGTGTGCTGAGGGATGCCCTGAGGAGAAGGGAGTCTAGCTCAGTGGTCTTGGCAGGGGGCGTGGTTGGCCCCCTGGAGTCCACGTCAGAAAATCTGACCAGCGGGGATTCAGACGTCACAAATTCCTCTGCCTCAGTTTCTTCCCCTGGACCCCCAGTGCAGCTCGAGCTGCATAATCTTTAGGCTCCCTTCCAGCTCCAAAACTTTGTGCATAAAACATTGTCCCCCAAACTTATTTTAAACGCTAACCTCAATTTCAACCAAACACCTTTTCAGTTGGAATGGTTTGCCTTTCACCTTTCATTTCCCACCTCAAAGCCTGGAGGGACCATGTGCAGAGCACTCACAGGGAAAGAGAAATTGGAGGGGTGGGGGTGGTTGCATGCTGACTGCTAATCTCCGGGAAGATGTCACATCTGTTAGATCATCAGTGCCTAATGCCCCATCCTATTTAAAGAACTGCAGCTTGAGAACTTGCCTGTTGCTTGAAGTTCTGCCCTACACCAGAAGCAGGTAGCATGCCCTGAAGAAACCATGGGCAGCAAGTTTATTTGCCCAAGGGCGAGTCAACACAACCATAAGAGGCATTTGAGGGTGACCATGCTTGCTCTAACTGCCAAGGGTATCCAATAGCTGCTCTTAGCTCAAAAGAATTAGATTTAACATTTTGCCTTTTTCAGTAGCATTGATTTGCAATTATTATCATATCACTTTTTTAAACAAAGCATCAATAACAATTAACTCAAAGACATAGTCCCCCAAAGTAGCAAGATCAAAGAAAAACAAATGAAAGACCTTTCTTGAAAAGTTAAGAGTGGATGCCTGGGAACGCCTCAGATAATTTCCTGTTTGCATTTTTCTAAACGTTTTTCTTTAGTATACTTTCCAGTAGTAAATCTCCATACCACAATTTTTCGAGGAGTGTTTGAAATCAGCAGACTTCTCAGCCCACACTATTAAAATCAAATGTATTATTATTTCTCCGTTTCAGCTGAATGAAACGTTCTTTTCCATGAACTGCCAAAGACTTTATGGTTTTCTTAATATGCCCATTAAAGCTGGTAAATTACAGGGACCCACATATCTTAGAAGACAAAAAGATTGCAGGGAGGTCACCGTAAGCGATCGAGCTAGAGCACGATTTCATAGCTGCAGGGAAAGGCAAGTTCACCCTCCCACCCCACCACCTTAAAAAGACAGTTCGAATTTCCTCCACTTCTTTCACAAAAAAGGATTACACTTTCTGGGTGTTAGCCTCCCCAGCAGAGTTCTAGAGCCTGGGGCACCGAACAAGGCTTCATTATCCTCCTCCTGCAGTGGAGGTAGCTTACCCTGAGCCCGGCCAGTGAGGAAGAGTGCGATTATCAGGGCACAGAGGAGGGCAGCACGGGGAGCCTTCATGTCAGCTGGCCTGGGCGCTCCCTCCCGCACGATGCTGCGCTGGCTTCAGCCTCCCTGAAACGTGAACATTTCCTGTTTCCTGCTTGTTTGGGTAGGTGCTAACTTGAAGGAGAAGTGTTTGCCTGTTTTTTTAGGAAGTGATGTAATTCTGCAGGAGCCTGTCAGACCAGCAAGGATTGCAAAAGAGAAGTTGCTCTTCAATTGCTGATGCAGTTAGCACGCCTCCCAAGCCCTTTGCAGCCCCGGCCCAGCCGTGGGTCTCTGATTTTGGAAATTGTCCCCGTGGAAACGGTGTCGGTGCTCAGGAGTCATTTGGAATCTGAGAGTGGGGGTGGCGGGGGGGGGGGGTCCTGAACCACATGCATTCTTGATTTGTGATTTTACTCAACCCACAGGTGAGTCCCTGTGGCTGCGTCTAGAGCAGCGCTAGCCAGCAGTAGGACTTCCTGAGATGATGGAAATGTTCCAAACCGGTGCTGTCCAGGACAGTAGCCATTAGCACTTGAAATGAGGCAAGTGCGAACTGAATATTTAGTTTTCTGCTTTATTCATTTAAGTTTAAATAACTCCGTGTAGCTAGTCCTGCCATGGTGGACAGTGCAGGGACACCAGCACCATGAGATCCTGGCAGGCCACTTCTCTGCAGCCAGGCCCAGCCTCCTTCCTGGGCCCTGGAGGAATGCCCCTCCCTCAAGGCTCACGGAGAGGGAGAGGACTCTGCCACACCCAAGCCTGAAAGGTGTGCTCTGCTTCCCTGGAGAGAAATGATCTTTTTATGTTTGTTTTGGGGAGTTATTTCCTGTTCATTTTGTTTTTTTCCTTTTTTTCTTTATAAAGACTTTATTTTTTTTTTAAGTCTTTAGTTTTAGGTTCACTGAAAAATTAAGAAGGTACAGAGATTTCACATATATCCCCTGCCCCCACACATGCATAATCTTCCCTATTGTGAACATCCCCCATAGACTGGTACATTTGTCACAACGGATGAACCCGTCATAATCACCCAAAGTTCACTCTTGGTGTTGTACATTCTATGGGTTTGGACAAATGTGTAGTAGTAATGACATGTATTTTCACTGTAGTATCTATCGTACGGAGTAGATTTACTGGCCTAAAGATCCTCAGTGTTCCACTCAGCACTCCCCTCCCGCAACCCCTGACTGTTCCAGAATTTACCAGGAGACCGAAAAATATGCAGGAGTATCAGAGATACAGGAAAAACCCATTTATTTTCAGATGTTTCACATGTACTAGTACAGTGACTCAGGGGAGACTGTTCCCCTCCAAATCCTGAGCAAACCAATATGGAGGAAGCTCTCCCTTAATACCCTTTGGTTTCTCTGTCCCCCAGATATGGATGGGACTTCCGGACCTTTCGCGGGCTTTGCAAAAAGCCCCATGTGTTGGGATGGAGGCTGTGAGACCACACCTAAAGGCCTGGTCTGGTGCCAGTGATGATAACCCCCTCCGGGGGTTGTGTATTGTTCATGGTTTATGGTCTCTGCAAAATGGGAGTACTTAGGTAAGTAAACAGGTCTTGCAAGACCAGATTGTGGAAAAGGGGCAGTGACTTAATTATAGGCTACCAAGAATGGGCATTAGGTTACTGGCACAGATTCAGATTGCTAGCCCCCCAAAATGTCTTATTTTCCCCATCATGACAACCACTGATCTTTTTACTGTTTCCATCGTTTTGCCTTTTCCAGATGTCATATGCTGGACTCATGCCGTATGTAGCCTTTTCAGATTAGCTTCTTTCACTTAGCATTATGCATTTAAGGTTCCTCCTTGTCTTTTTACGACTCGATACCTCGTTTCTTTTTAGGTCTGGATAATATTCTGCATGCACCACAGTGATTTATCCATTCACCTACTGAAGAACATCTTAGTTGCTTAAAATTTTGTCAATTAAAAATAAGCTGAGATAAACATCCCTGTGCAGATATTTGTGTGTATGTAAGTTTTCAACTCCTTTGGAAAACTACCAAGGGGCCTGATTGCTGGACCATATGGTAAGAGAGAAATGATCTTTTAAAGGGTGTATTTCCAAAGCAGAGTCTGTTGGGGGGGTGTGTTTGGGGGGGGGGGCGGGATTTGCATTTCACCTTTCTTCCTCTTTGCATGACAATAAATTCCTCAGAGGTTGTTAACAACAAGCAAAATAGGGCTGAATTGGATTAGAATGAGGTGGAAATTCTACCCAATTAAAACAATGCAGGAAGGAGGTGTCTGTTTAGGCCAGTATTCAGGGAGATTAGAGTGTTAGGTTTTTGTGTTCTAACCGACGTCCTTCCATTGGTTTAGGGTTAGGGCCTAAGCACTCGGGAATGCAATTTCATAATCATGGTTGTTATGGTGCTAAGAGAGACTGGGCAGACAGAGGCATCAGATACCTGCCTTTCCTGTAGGTTATCATGAGACACCACTTTCCAGTAGCTTTCACCTGCAGTGATCTGGTTGGTGTAAACACTCGAGGTGACTGGAATTTCTCTGCCCCTGACATAGCCATTAGTTTTTGGTTCAGTGCATTGCTGCTTTTAATGTCATTAGTCACTGTTTGTCTCCATTCATATGCACAAGAAGTAGGTTGGTGATTCGTGTAATGAGCAGTTTGCTAATGGTTTTACAGTATGGATTTTAATGGTTTAAACTGGCAATTAAGTCAATTCCTGATTTAATATGCCTTTGCCCTTTAGGTGACAACACAGAACAAATGGTGGAAGAAAATAGACGCGATCAAAACCCGATGATTGATGGGAAAGCAACAGGGAAAGAACCATCCATCAAACTCTCGCTGCGCCAGGGAATAGGCCACTGGCTCTGAGAGCCTCTGGCGCTGAGTTTGGTTGGCAGTTATCCTGTACTCGCATGCATTTCTCTAGCTGCCACACACCGGCAACAGAAGAGGCCCAGGGCTTGGAGCTCTCTTCATTTCGCCACATACCCCCCGTTAAAACCATTGTTGGGTCCCAGGCTCGAGGCACGTGCTTGGCAAGGGCGAGGTGTCAGCCTTGGTTTCTTTGATTTTAAAACTACAGCTGGCAGGAGGCCTTGCAGAGGCGGGTATCTGCGGCTGGACCACAGACGGTCTTATTCTGCAGTCCCTGCAGAGGCCTGGCCAGACCGTTCCTCAGAGCTGCTACAAGTGCACCCGCGTTACTTCTGAGCAAGCACAGCCCTCCATCGGTTAGAATGATGTACAGAATAAACTGAGGCCGCGGAGACATCCTGCACAACCGTATAATTTTCTTTTGACCTCTGTGCTCTCTGAGACCCTTGCCGTGATTAAACTGATCTTAGGGGGAAGAAAATTACCATCATTGATCAGAAAATGGCAGCACCTTGGCGATCTCTTTACTGCAGTTAAAATCACAGGGAGACTGTGTGGTAGGTAATGGGCTACCTTACCCCTGTTTGTTCTAATTTTACCAACCATTAATTTTGGCAAGTGGCTGCCCAGCCTCAGATTAAATCCTGACACACTCGTGGCAGGAAGTCAGGGCCCCAGTCTCGATGGGGAGGCACCGGGAGCCTCTGCAGGAAATAGCAGGCACACAGCAGGGGTAATGACGCCTGAGAGGCCTCACACTCAGGAGGGCACGAACAGAAAGTGCTTGCGGGTTCTGGGGACTCTATTATTTTATCCCAACAAACCCCGGCTTTTACAACCACCTCTCTGTGTTACAGACGAGATTCTCATCCAATCCCTCCTCCCTTCCCTCCTGCCTCCTTATCTCCCCTCCCTCCCATCAGCTCCAAAACAGAAGGGACAGACGCTAAGGGAACAAACCCAGAAATGATAAGATTTGTAGTCAGTGCAGGCTACCCCTGCATTCCGTCTTAGCCCCAACATTGCCATTCCCGCCCCCCTCCCCCCCCCCCAAAATAGACACAGACAGGCACACCCACACACACACACACACACACACACACTCACGCATGTACACAGCACTCCCTCTCACACACACGCACACTGTGGAAATCCATGGAGACCAACCGAATGAGAACAAGCAAAGGCTGTTTATTCCGGGCTTGCTACAGCAAGGGAGCCCGCCACATCCCTCGTGCTTTGGCTGAGACTGACAGGCAGGCACCAGAGCGGAGCACTTCACAGGGGGAAAAGGCGAGGCTTCAGGTGTGCCCTGGGGGATGCTGTTGGCATGGGGAGCTAGAAGGGAGATTTAGTTATTGCTTTGGAGGCACATATTTGCTCCTCCTGAATTGAAAGTGGGAGGGGAAAATTGGGGCCAATTGTTACAGGACTTGTGGTTACTAGAGATAGGGTCTGACTTCCTGTACGTTGACTCGTAGCAGGCTGGCTTCCTGGGTTGTGTGTGCTGCAGGTGGTGGGTCTGGCCATTGCCCAACTGTACTCAGTCTCTCAAGACCTATCCACGTGCACACTCACTCAGAAATATACACACATCTCACACCCAACAAACCCACACCCACACTGACAAACTGGCATACGCTTTCTGGGGCTTCTTGTTCTGTCTGAACGCTAACCGATGGCAGCTGACGGCTCTGCAGTGTTTGCATCACAAGGTGGCCAGGACTCAGCTGTGGTAAGAGTAATAGGTGTGCCTGTCACTCACTCTGAAGCCAGTGAGCAGGGCACAGGGGGCAGGTTAAGATTCCAGGCTCTGGGGGAGTGCCAGAGAGATACGTGGGCATGGCTGGGGCAGAAGGATTAAACAGAACCCCGGAGTGAGCAGAAAAGCGGCAGCCAGGAGAGGGGCTGACAGCAATTCTCCTGTGTCCTAGTCAGCTCGGCTGACACAACAGACATTTATTTTCTCATCGATCGGGAAGGCTGGAAGTCAGAGACTGGGAGCCAGCACGGTCAGATTTCAGTGAGAGCCCTCTTCCTGCCTGGCCACCTTTTCCCGGCATCCTCCACTGGCAGAGAGAGGGAGCGAAAGCTCTCTGGTGCCTCTTCTTACACGGTACCAATCTCAGCATGAGGGCTTGGCCCTAATGACCCATCTAATCCAATTATTTCCCAAAGACCCCATCTCCAAATATCATCACATTGGGGGTTAAAGACTTCAACATCTGGGTTTCTTAGGGGTGGAGAGGACACAATT